GACTAGGAAGAAAGGTCTGGTGATCTACTTGCCAAAATCAGCCAATGAAAACCTTATGGATCACAACAGAATATTGTTCAGTATAGTGCTGGAAGATGAGCTCCCTAGGTTGGAAGGCAGTCAAAATACACAGTGGCCACAGCAGGGACTCGAGTGCCCCAACCATCATGAAGACGGTGCGGGTGTTTAGTTCTGTGTATGTGGGGTTGCCGTGAGTCAGAGCCTACTCAATGGCAACTAACAACAACAACATAATATTGGTACTTTTATTGCCCATCTGTGATACATGAGAAACCAAGGACAAAGAAATTTTAAGTAGCTGCTCCCAGGTCACACAAACCAGAGCTGTCTGACTATGGAATCCGTGTTCCTGGCCCTGCTGCCCTGAGGTGAGCTTTTCTCCTTTGCCCCTTGGGTGTCGCCATGGCTGAAGTTCAGAGAAAGCCATTAGACCTCTGCTCTGTATTTTGGTGGCCGTAATTCTTCCTGACCTGCTCAAACCCAGTGTGAGCTGGTACTACCTGCACCCAAACTCAATTTAAGAGTATTTAGAGAAGAAGGAAAGTGGAGGCTTAGTTGCTGTTGTTGGGTGCTGTCGAATCGGTTCCAACTTATAGTGACCCCATATGACAGAGCAGAACTGCCCCACAGGGCTTTCTAAGAAGCCCTGAGGGTTTTCTAGGCTGTGAGTTTTATGGGGACAGATCTCCAGGTCTTTCTCCCATGCAGTCGCTGGGTGGGTTCAAACCACCAATCTTTTGTTTAGCAGTTGAGCACTTAACTGTTGTGCCATCAAGGCTCCTTGGAGACATAATTGGCCTTCCCCAAATCCGAGAAAATGCAAAGAGGACAAGCAGTCAAGGGAGCAATCTTTGAAAAGCCAGAAGTACCCTTGCAGGCTACATCCTACTTCAGGTAAAAACTGAGAACACCCCAAAATATAACGCAGTGCTGGCAATTCTGTACCGCTCACTCCTACTCAAGGGGCTTTAGGCGAAATTGCATGAACTTACCTGAAGCTGAATTCTAATCCTTAGGACAAGCAGTCCTTATCTAATTGTTAAATTTTTATTTAATGATTTAGCAAGACTGTGACAGGAATTATTAAAAAGGGAAGAAAGTGTAGTAAATGAACACGAAAGAGGTTTCTCCTTTCCTCTTTTGAAACAGAATAAACGTGACAGAGAGGCAGAGAGAGGGAACTCACTTTTCATTAGTTTATGGTCTGGCAGAGATTTTAATTTTGTAAACACAGGCCCCGGGGCCTTGGGTGTGTGAGATGGGACTTAACCAAATGATTGGAAAATTAGCATGTGCCCTTGGCAGTCTCTTTCAATCACCGACTGCCAGACGGGTCATTCGGGACAGGAGCATCGATGTGACTGAGCTGCTCAGATGCGCGTCTGCCGCTTGGTGTTTCCGAGGCAAGGAGTGGTTCTGGCATTTGCAGCCACCTCTTTCCGATGTCTGGGTTCTCTTCAGGGAGGTGGAGGATGTGTCTGCAAATGTACCTTCCCCCTACACCCCCCTGCCAGCCCCACCAAGGTGATTTCCCTCCAGATCACTCATCTGAAAGTCAGGCCTGACGCCAAACGAACAGGAAGTACTAAAGTCCAAGACTAATGAGAAAATTCACTTTAGAACCATCAGAAACAACAAATCCACCTTCAGTTACAATGGACAAATCAAACATGCTCTGGGTTTTCACTAGCTGATTAGCACTGAATGCATACTTTAGGCAACTCCTCCGTTTCATAAGGTGAAATTTTAAAAAGCAAGTGCCAAGTTCATTACTGTGCCACATAACTGCAAGTCAAGATCTGCAAGGGCTTTGTTAGTGGCACCTCCCCAGTGATCTAAGCTCACCTTCCATTTCTGTTTGCCACAACGATCATCTCTGCTCAACTGTTAGTGCAGGTAGGTGTGACCACTGGGCATTTGCACAACCTGATTGTGAGCACCTCCTTATAGACTGCACCCTTCACAACTCGCTTGCCTCGCCCTAGTCCTGACCCAGTCTGTACAGGGAAGCATTAAGAGCACAGCTCTAGAGCCAGCCTGACTGAATTCAAGTCCTGGTGTTACCACTTGTGAGCTGGGTAACTTGGGGCAAGTCCCTGGGTGGCTCTGTACCTTAGTTTCCTAATCTTTAAAATGTAAGCAATATTTGCATCCGCCTTGTGGGGTTGTTGGGAGGATCGAAAGTGAACACAAGAAGCACTTAAGACAGTGCTTGGCACAGTGAGAACTCAGTAAAAAACAGTTGCGGTAGAGTCGATTCTGATACATGGCGACCCTCATGTGTGAAAGAGTAGAACTGTGCTCCACAGGGTTTTCAGCAGCTAATTTTTCAGCAATATATAGCCAGAGCTTTCTTGCCAGGCACTTCTGGGTGGACTCAAACCTCCAACCTTTCAGTTAACAGCCGAGCATGTGAACCTTTAGCACCACCCAGGCCCTCTGAGAACTCAGAACACATCACTTATAATTATCTCCTAGACCCTGTGACAGATATTGCTTTCAAACTAGTAACAATAGCAAAAGGGCTGTAAATTGAGTACCAGTAAAACATCAACGCCACTAATTTAAAACGGTTCAACAAGAAAAAAAAAAGCTTAAATTACAAAATATTCTTTAAGAAATGAAAGTTTATTACTTCAAACATGAAGTATTTCCAACTAGGCCAACAAAGTATTACCTACTAGAGCTGTAAGAGAAACTACCTCAGTAAGCAGACAGGCATAATCTAGTTAATTGTAACTCATTGCTTGAAAACACTTGTTTCTAAGGCTTGAAACAAGTCTTTTCTTTTAAACAGTTTCTCAGCCAACTTGTTTGTTATTATATTCTTAACCAAAGATTAGATAATTGAAAAACTAAACTTAATATTGACCCTGTCCAAATGATCAAAACTTCTGCATCAATCAAATGAGAACAAAAGAGGCCAACCATATTTGGAATAAGATATTCAATGCTATTTCTTCCAGAATTCTCAAGTCACAGAGCATTGTTCAAACTCATCATATCAGCCCAAACAGACCGAAGCCTCTTATTTTACCAAAATCAAGTTTGAGATAGAATGAATGTAGAAGAATCACCCAGTCACAGAGAGGGATCCAGGAGCAGAATGGTGATAACTCCAGAGAAAGGACCCAGTGGCCTTCTCAGTCTGGGCCACGTCCAGGAACTACCAGGGAGCGGAGTTTCCTTTTGTGTGGACTCCGTTCTTGGCACACACACATCAGCACATGATCAATAGATGCACAGGACTCTGGTTTGTGGACACGTGCTGAGGCACAACTGAAGATCCTTCTAAGTATTATTATTAGCAACACTGTCTCCCCAGCGATGTGCTAAGGGCTTGCTTTACATGCACCATCTCAATGAACTCTCACAAGAGCCCAGTGGGACAGGTACTCTTGTTGCGATCATTTTCTCACTTTGCAAATGAGGAAATTGAGGAATGCAGTGGGGAAATGACTTCCCCATGGTCATACAACATGTGAGTGTCACTGGGATTCAAAAGTGCATCCTCTGGGTCCAGTGTCTACCACCCCCAACACTCTATTACACAACCTCCAAGCGCCAGACAATTGTTCTCAGCTCAACAAATTTAGAAGGACATGTAGAAAAAGCACAAGTCCCCAGCTGTAAGCCTGAGGCTCCCATAAAGAGTCAGTGTAGTTGGTCTGATAAAACATTAGGTCACACTGCATTATTTTATTCAATACTGAGTTTTCAATTTGTAGCAAAACCCCTTATCTTAGCTAACCAGTGCTGCCATAACAAAAATATCACAAGTGGGTGGTTTAAAGAACAGAAATTTACAATCTCACAGTTCTGTCTGGAGGCTAAAAGTCTAAATCAGGGTGTCGGTCATGTTGATTTCTCCAATGGGTCTCTCTCCTTGTTTCTGGTGGTTGTTGGCAATCCTTTGCTTGTAGACAGGCCCTCACATGTATCTGTCATCCCCATGTATGTTTGTTTCTGTGTCTATTCTGTGATTTTTATAACTTAGAAGTGATTAGGTTTAGGACCCATCCTACAATGGTATGATCTCATTAACATAAAAGAAACCCCTGCTTCTAAGGGGGGTCATATTTACAGGAATAGGGTTAGGATAGGACTTCAACACATATTTTGGGGGGACACAATTCAATCTGTAACACCCCTTCAAGGTTATCAGAAGGTGAAAGTAGGCTCTAATGAATCAAAGCTGGGGTTCTACAGACCTTAATTTTAGGTCTTAGACTAAAAGAGAAAAAATGGGGAAGGGTCACTGTGGCAGGTATAGGGATGGAGACAAACGGGATGTGAAGTATTGACCTCGTGTTAACAATTATGGTTCCATGTTACCTTATGCATATGTCCTCCTGTCTTCTGTTCTCTTACTCTTTCCCTTTTATGAACATACAAGCTATCATGTTCATTCAACCACAAACCCACGTAGAAGGCTGGGACAAAGCACTGAGTGAAACCTCTTGATGGGACCTTGGTCATTTCAAGTTTTTGGAATTCCAGTGGACCGTCGTATGGAATGTGTTTTTTTGTTTTGTTTTGTTTGAATCTCTTTAAGCTTCTTCTTTTTTTAACATTGGCTTTTAGTCAATAAAAATGTTTCCAATGTAAGAATCAGTAAACAATAAATATATAATCCACATTGACAAAAACTTTAAAAGTCCTTTTTTAGGGGGTGATTTATTCAAGAATCTATAGTGGGTTTGGGACTCCCCAAAGCTCTCAATGATGTTTCTCACACCTTGCTTTTAACCCTTGTAGTTGTGACCAGCAGCAGTGACACGCAGGGTGATGGTCTGTGTTTGGGGAGGGGGAGGGATACAAGGGTCTACAGAGAGTGCAAGACACATGGAAATGAATTATAAAACTTTATTGGCTTGTTAAAAAAATGAATGAATTTAGCAAGTACATTTATGGTCTATCCACATTGTTAAAACAGTACTTAAAAATAAAATAAAAAAATGATTATCCATTATTTACAGGAAACATGAAAAAATGGCTTTAAAACCTGGAACACTATGAGGGGAACACAGCATGAGAATGACTCACAGGCAGCCTATGGATTACAGCAAATGGCTTTGAACACAAAATGGGTGAAAACAAGGCTTTGTCTTTCTCGGGAATCTCTGGCTACTTTATGTTTGTTTATACCCAGTGCATAAATGGACTGTCTTGACAAAAAGTTGATGAGAGATCTCTGTTCTTTCCTTGCCTCCCCCACATTTGCTGCATGAAAACCAAGACTCTAGACACAGACAGTGACTTCGGGGAGGGGTGAGGATGTCACCATGTTGGGGTGCTCACTGATGATCATCCTAAGTCGGCACTGCAACATGAGCCTGAATTAAACTCCGATTGATTTCATTGTCAAAATCAGATTGTCGGGAGGTTCCACTGTCCATGAAGACCAAAATGAGGAAATGGGAGGAGTTAAGAGCTGCACTGTGTGATGGCCGTTTGCATGCAACTTTCTGGGTTGGGGATTCTGTCAAGATAATTCAGTTTGGCAGCACCCTGCAAGTTGGGAGAGTTGTTAACCTTCCCAGGTGCCTTTGCATAAATCTGATATGGTCTGCAGGTGCTAGAGTTATGTGAAGGAGTCCTTGGACGCTGGAAATAGTTAACATGCTCAGCTTCTAACTGAAAGGCTGGCAGTTCAAGTCCACCCAGAAGCACCTCAGAAAAAAGGCCCGGTGATCTACTTCTGAAAAATCAATCACTGAAAACCCTATGGGGCACAGTTCCACTCTGACACACGTGGGGTTGCCATGAGTCAGAATCCAATCAACAACAACTGGTTTTCTTTCTTAGGGGTATGCGAACATAGCAGAACACACTTATTAGAATGGCTACTTCTGACTTTATTTCTTTCTCTTCAAGTTGATTGAGTCGTATCACTGACCTAGACTAGAAATGAATGGTAATCCTGGAGTCAGGTATAGCCCAGGTGGCTGGGTGCAGCAACCCTGTGACAACCCTTCTCTTAGTTGCTCCCCCTCTGTCTAGATTCTAGACAAAACAAGATGAAACAAGATCCCCTCGTAGTGCAAAGGAAATCGATCAGAACCAAGAAAGGAGGTATAGATAGAAAACACCAAAGCAGGTGGAGGTGAATATCACCCACACTACCATAGATTGGGAGGAGAATTAGTAAGGTCCTATCTAGTACTTTGATTCCCTTTTGCAATGAAGGGGAAAAAAAAAAAAAGAAAAGTCACGTGTGTTAGAGTTATGCAAAGCAACAAAAAATAAATAAAAAATAAACTACGAGTTTGCTACGGAGTTAACTTAGGATGTAAGAGAAAACAAAAAACGTCAGAGGTTTTAAGAGAATAAAGAGAAAAGAGGAGAGAGAGAACACACTGGCTCTCCATCACACTGGCTCTCACGCCTGGCAGGGAGACTGAATTCCTGCCCTGCACTCCTTAAACTACGGGGGTAGTGATGGTTCAGTGGTAGAATTCTCACCTTCCGTGTGGGAGACTCGAGTTCCATCCCAGCCAATGGCTCTCATGCAGCATTTGCTCCCGTTTTGCATAGGGTTGACATAAGTCGGGAGCCGACTCAATCTCAGCTAATGACAATTCATTAAGCTTGGAGCCCTGGTGGCGAAGTGGTTAAGAGCTCAGGCTGCTAACCAAAAAGGTTGGCAGCTCAAATCCACCAGCCACTCCTTGGAAACCCTACAGGGCAGTTCTACTCTGTCCTATAGGGTCGCTATGAGTCGGAATTGACTCCTTGGCAACCGGTTTTCCAACAGGTGTTTACTCCTCACATCGCTGGTAATTTATGACCTCTGCTCTGAGGAGATGCTGCAAGCATTAACCACTCTGGATATAATTCAGGATTACTTGGAGAGTTAGAAGCCAAAGGCAGATTTCCTCTGTTACATACTTAGCTTTGTCTCTGTGCTCTGTGCTGTGGGGGCTGGCATTATCTTGTTGTAGTCCTTGTTGCTTATTTCTGGAAAGATAACTCAATGAGTCAAAAATGAATTCAGACCCTGTTGGGAGACCAGGACTGAAAGCCCCAGAATCAACTCTCCCTTGAGTATGTTGGGATTCCTTCTTACTGTTGAGAGATGGACCTTCTTAAGCCTCATATTGTTTCTTGTTTGCTGTTGTTAAAGGCCGAGACCATGTACCATGTCTGTGTGGTGACAGCTGCTGTTTCACTTTCTCAGCTTCCTTAGTTGGTCTCTATGGCATAGGACTCAAGGGTGGGTAAACAAGACAAAGAACCTGAACCACACCTCTCGAAGATCACACTCCTGTTTTCCATTTACCAATGTCCACACTGATATATTAAGGACCCCGTGTGAACATGGGGGGAGCCCAGGTGGCGCAGTGGTTAAGAGCTCAGCTGCTAATCGAAAGGTTGGCAGTTTGAATCCACTAGCCGCTCCTTGGAAACCCTATAGGACAGTTCTACTCTGTCCTATAGGGTCACTATGAGTTGTAATCGATTCGACGGCAATTTTGTTTTTTGATTTGTGAACATGGGGCTATGCATTTTCCCCACCTAAACCTGGCTGACACTGAGTGGGCCAGGATAAATGGACACTGGTGAAAAGAAATTCATGTCAGACAAGGCAGGAGGAAGCACTTACTAGAATGTTCTGGGCACACGGAAGTGGGACCCATCAGGGAATAGCAGGAAGACATTGTGCCAAGACAGTTCCTGTGCAGGTGAGTGCTCAAAGGCTCACTAGCTGGGCAGAAGTCGTAGGAGAGGAGCAAAGGTAAGTGAGATGCCAGGTTGTGAACTCAATTCCTTAAGCTTGTTGAAATAAACCTCTCAATATCAACGGCAGGGATAAAGAAACGTGAGTTTGCGCAAAAAAAAAAAAAACACAAGGATGAGTAAGAGAACAATGACAGCGTTTCAAGACAACAGTAACAAGCTGGCAGCCTACAGACATGTTCGGTTGGCCTACATAATGTTTTAAAAATAACTGAGCCAATTTTTTAAAAATAGGGATGCTTCACACAAAAATTCAAGTCTCGGGTCTCTCTGAAAGAGTCAGAAGATTTGGAAGCCTGGGCTCACATTCCCCTGAGGCACACGCTGGCAGAGGTTGGGTGGTGGCTGGCCCTCTGGGGGTGCAGGCACTTGCCCACCCACCCACCCCATTCATTTCAGATACCTGCCCAGTGCTGGTGTTTGAGATCCTTCTCTTAGGATGACAGGCCTGATTTCAGCAAAAATGCAGCCTGTCTTCTGTTAATGCTGTGAAAAATACATGATGTATGCCCTCAGAAGGCGCTAAACAGATTTTTCATAGGACCCACAAAAAACAAAGGAGGAAAGAGGGTGGTCTAGTGCACAGAAATGAGAATCTGTGTTACTGATCATGGTCTTTCGGGATTAAAAAAATGAAAAGCAAAGAACACGAGAACCATACAGAACAATTTTCTAATCGCCTGCTGTTTCTCAGCGTTTCCTAGGAGATGTCAACTGCTGTTTGATATATTAAATTGCCTTATCTGTCCACTTCTCTCCATCTTAAAACAAAAATCTACCCTGAAACCCTTCTAGCTATTGAGTACATTTTTTTTTTTTTTCTTTGCCTTTTGGGTCTGGGAAACTTAACAAAATAGTTCTTAAACAACTCACCTCCTTTTTATGGCTCATGGAATAACAGACAAGCTTTAAAAAAAAAGATTTGTACCAAATGGCTGATACTTAAGAACCTTTGCTGTATCGACAACCCCTCTCTAGCTCAGTTTGAATTTCATGTTTCTTTCAGTGGTCAGGATTTCTGCAATTAGCTGGCCTCTTTGTAAATCAACACCTTTGGGAAAGATCCGAATCGAAGTAGTGACAGGAACTGTCATTTGGCAGCAAGCAAGAAAATGGGAACTTGGAGAATATTCAGACCTCCTCATTCTGAGGGCCACTCAAACGTCTTTTTGGAAAGAAAACTTTTGAGAATGGGCAGCCTGTTTATGTTTTGGAGAAACTACCCCTCTTTGTGGCATGAGTATGGAGTAGCCAAGTTCAGTGCTGTAATCCATAGGTCTCTGTGAAATGTCTCCATCAAGAAATAACATATTTAGCGGCTAATGTAAAAGATACAGTGTAAAATATTTATCACGGATACTCATTTTATAGCAAGTGGTGCCTAAATCGATCCTGGTTTATTAAGATTAATGCCTTGGTTACACAGGATTCAGAATAATGTCTCCAAACATGTTGGACTAGTTAAAAAACTATAAATCCTCAAAGCTGAACTGCAAAACTTGAACAACTATTTCCAGGAAAAAAAAAAAAGCATTTTTTTGAAAACATCAGTGAGTTTCCAATTCAGCCATGGTGTATATGTGCATGTTCAGCCGTCAGAGCGGCTTGCGTTTTCAAGGGAAATTCTCCAAGCCTGGTTCTGGGGTCCTCTAACCAGCAAGTGATAAGGTGGGGAGGGTTGGGATGGGAGCTGCCAAAGCTCTCTTCACAACAGGGACACCGATTGCCACCGTCTGCAAAGACTGAACAAAGCTTATCAAGGTCACTGTGGTGGTGAAGGGGGTGAAGCAGGTGTCCACAGGTAAGACTAAGGGCACGCAGGCATCTGTAGCTCCAAGGCTGCCCTCTCGGCAATGAAACTGGACATTATAAAGCATGTATTCATTAGCGACCTGCCACGTCTCAGCTGCTTGGGTCAGGAAGAGCTTTCCCGTCCTTGAAAACCCAGCAGCAGGGCAGTATGTTGTATGGGGACTACCCTCCTTAGAACCTACTCTCCTGCTCACAGCAGGCCAGCTATTCCGCTCGCAGGCCTTTGCAGAGCAGAAAAGCTGCAGTTCTGTAATGGAAACAGCATGTGATGTTGCGGCCTTCTCACCTGGCAAACTTCTAAAAGGCAGGTGGATCACAGAGGGCAAATAAAAAGGGACAAGGTTGTCATTTCACCATATGCATATGTTTCACGCTTTAGTTTTTCTGAAACTGACTTGGATAGCCTAGCTTCTTCTTCTTTTTTTTTGTTTAATTAAAAAAAAAAAATTTTTTTTTGGCCTGCTGATGAACTTTAAGGAAATCATTAGCATTGCATAG